TAAGTATGCCTGTCTGTCTGTCCCACTTACATCTCTAGAACCTGTCATCAAATGTCAATGAAACATGGTGCATAGATAATCTAGGACAATGCACAGACCTGATTAGTTTTGGTTTAATGTCATGCATATTAATTACATATAATTATCCAATACAGCTTTTCTATTTTTATCTTGAAAATCACTCTGGAATTTTTTATTTGATTTTGATCATTTTTGATTTGATGTCTGCATAAGGTTGTTGAGTTAACACTTTAATTCATATATTAATTATTATTATATTATTAATATTTTATTTTCTATTTTTTTTCAGGCATAGTGGACATTTTGGAACTATTAACAATTTCCGATTGGGAAGACTTCCCAGTGTTCCAGTTGAATGGAGTGAAATCAATGCTGCATGGGGTCAGACTGTATTATTACTTCACTCTTTAGCACAAAAAATGAATTTGCGGTTTCAAAGGTGAGATGTCAGTATTCTGTAAATCATTTAATTTAATTCTCACGATATGGTGATTTCATAACATTTGTAAAGACCCAAATGTTGTAGGACAGCAAAAAATGTTGTTCTGCTACTACTTTCACAAAATTCACAAAAAATGATTTTCCCAAAATGACAGCATTTTACAGTATTATCAAACACCTAATATTATTTATTGGATATTTCAGGTATCAGTTGGTTCCATATGGAAATCACTCATTTCTGGAATGTCTGAGTGACAAATCTAAAGAGCTACCACTTTATGGTTCTGGTGGATTTCGATTTTTCTGGGATACAAAGTAAGTGTTTTCGTATTGATTGATTTATTATTCCCCATTTGTACAAGTCGGAAAACTTGGATTTGTAGATTGATCTCTGTGTGTCTGTCCATCCATGTGTGCTCCTGTGACTAATTATGTAAAACATCCTGAGATTACATGTACATTTGCATTAGTTTAGCAATTCAATTCAAGATGGCAGCCATTTTAGGGTTAAAATGCACAGAAATCAAATCTTGCTCTGCCATTCCAGAGAGGAAGTGTACATGAACAGATTTTGTGCAAACTTGGTACAAACATTATTATTATTATTACAAATATTTTTAACCATTATCAAACTGAAAATATTTGGTTGGTATAACCTGACCAGTGTATTGAGTTACCCATATATACAAATAACATACATATAAGATTGTGACCACTGTATTAAGCCAAACTGGACTGTGTATGAAGCCAGACTGACCAGTATACATGTATAGGGTTACCCATATGTCCTAAATATAGTTTACTGTATTTTCAGGTTTGATCATGCTATGGTAGCCTTTCTTGACTGCTTACAGCAATTCAAAGAAGAGGTTGAAAGAGGTGACACAGGGTTCTGTTTACCATATAGAATGCATAATGGTAGAATTGAAGATGCTGCATCAGGCACTTCATATTCTATAAAGTGAGTAAAAACTGGTTATGTGAAGGCTGCATTCATGTCCAAGTTTTGTTTTATGTTTTATGTTCTGACAACCAGTTTGATAATATATTTCTAAAAGAATGATCCCTTTTTTCTCTGCAATCACAAATGACCATACCTGGTGTTAGATGCATATATTATGCATGTAGAAATACATGTCTATAACAATTTGTGATTGAGTAAAAGTTGCAGCCATCTTTCTTTTTGATCATATTACTTTTATTTTTTTAGTCCCCATTCGAACAAAGTCCGAAAACGGGGACTTATAATTTGGTCTTCGTTCGACTGTGCATCTGTGCGTCTGTGCGTCCGTCCGGAGTCATATCTCAGAATTCCTTGGGCCGATTCTGTTCATTCTTTGCATGTGCCTAGTACTTTATGTGGGACATATGCACATGCAGTGGTTTAGCGATTCGATTCAAAATGGCCGACTGGCAGCCATCTTGTTTTTTGAAAATGTTGTATTTTGGACATGCTTTGTCAGTTTTCATTCAGACTTGGTACATAGATTATACATGCTAGGATACATGTCCCTGACCGTTTGTAAGTTCCTGAGTCTGTTCGTCCGTGTGTCCGTCCGTGCATCAGTCTGTCCATAGTCATATTTCAGAATCCTGTGGACCGATTACGTTCATTCTTTGCATGTGCCTAGTACCTTATGTGGGACATATGCACATGCAGTGGTTTAGCGATTTGATTCAAAATGGCCGACTGGCAGCTATCTTGTTTTTTGAAAATGTTGTATTTTGGACATGCTTTGTCAGTTGTCATTCAAACTTGGTACATAAATTAAACATGTTAGGATACATGTCCATGACAATTTATTTCACAATTGGATCAAAGATGGCCGACTGGCAGCCATCTTGTTTTTTGAAAATGTTGTATTTTGGACATGCTTCGTCAGTTTTCATTCAAATTTAGTACATAGATCATACATGTTAGGATACATGTCCCTGACCGTTTATGAGTTCCTGAGTCTGTCCGTCCATCTGTCCGTGCGTCCATCCATGCATCAGTCTGTCCAGAGTCATATTTCAGAATCCTGTGGGCCGATTACGTTCATTCTTTGCATGTGCCTTGTACCTTATGCGGGACATATGCACATGCAGTGGTTTAGCGATTCGATTCAAAATGGCCGACTGGCAGCCATCTTGTTTTTTGAAAATGTTGTATTTTGGACATGCTTTGTCAGTTGTCATTCAAACTTGGTACATAGATTATACATGTTAGGATACATGTCCCTGACCGTTTGTGAGTTCCTGAGTCTGTTCGTCCGTGTGTCCGTCCGTGCATCATGACGATTTATTTCGCAATTGGATGGTCGACTGGCAGGCATCTTGTTTTTGTTTTTTTATGTGGTATCTTGGACGTGCTCTGTCAGTTTTCATTCCAATTTGGCACATACATGCACTTTATACATGTTAGGATGCATGTCCATGACAATTTCTTTCAAAATCTGGTCAAGGATGGCCGATTGACAGCCATCTGACTTTTTGGCCTTCTACTACTATAAATCCACAATTTATGTACCATTTTCATTCGAATTTGGCACATACATCATACATATCAGTGTGTTTCATAATCAGATCAAAGATGGCCGAATAACAGTTGTTTTTATTTTTGGCCATATTACTACTACACGAAACACGTGTTTTGATGTAAATAAACAATCTTCGCTTTAATATGATGGGTACTGTGTCATTTTCAATGACTTGTTATCCTAGGCAAAAATAACATTTCCTTCAATTGCAAGGAACTGTGTAATTAAAAGTAAGCAAATGTCAAATCCACTTAATGACTTTTTTAATTTTTGTTGGCAGAATCCAGTTCAACTCTGAAGAACAGTGGACCAAAGCATTGAAGTTCATGCTGACTAATTTAAAGTGGGGACTTGCATGGGTATCTTCACAATTTACAAAATAAAATGGTTTACTTGTTTGTTTTTTTGAAATTGAAACTATATTCTTTTGAACTAATAATATTTAGCTTGCCAAAATGGATGTGTAAATTGTGCAGTATTTATTTAACAATTAAATCTTAAATGTGAAACATATCGTTATCATTTTATTGACTGTATATTATGTAAAGTATAAAATGCAGATCTGAGTAGTTTTGAGTTGAGCCTTTCCACTTTATTCTCGTCTATTATTCAACTGATTTCAATGATACTGGATACATGGATGCTCTTTGATAATGCAGATGTGACTAGATCATGGTTGAAATCCATATATTTTAATGACCTAATTTGTATATCAATTAGCCAGTATTTAACTTTTCCACCAATATTTCAACCACTCACCAGATTCAATGAAAATAGATACTTAGAGATATACCATATACATGTTCAGTTTACAGTTAAATTTTGTGCTTACTAATTACCTAATTTGCATAAGTTAACCAATTTATAAGTGATCCACTGATAACTTGAGTATCACTTATCAAATTTGAATGAAACTAGTAAATACAGTATTCCTTATTTGTACAAATTGTTCTACTTTCAAAAAGTACTTTCCTCTCATTGAAAGTAAATATTTTGATATTCAAGACAATCTTTTGAATGTTACAGAATTTGTACAATATTAGGGGTGCACCATTAGAAATTTAGAGACTAGCAGAATTGAAAAAAGAAAGAATTATGGAAAATCCTGCAGGGATCAATAACAATCTGATTAAAATTTGATGTAGGTATGAGGCTCTAATTTTTTGTTATTATTATTTTTTTATTATTATATTTTTATTCAATTAACAATACATGAAAAGGAAACAGAACTAAAAGTACAACACAATCACAAATACAACAAATTATCAGAGTAAGGTAAAGAACTTAAAATGTTACTTATTCGACTGGAAAATCACTCCATTTATTAACATGATGCTCCATAATATTTTTACGAGTTGCAATATATTTTTCAATTTTATAAATATTCAACACTAAATGTTTTAATACTATGAAAATGGGCAAGGTATCTTGGCACCTAGCTGTGTATATAGCCCGTTTAGCAAGTAATATAACCTGATTTGTAATAGTACTAAAATTTCCATCCCCAAGTAGTAATTGATGATTATCTGGAAGACTGTCTAGATTTAAAAATTTGCCCCAGTTATGAAATACTTTACCCGAAAGCTCCTTTGAATATTGGCAGTCTATAAATAAATCTAGTAAAGTTTCATCTGTTTTTTTACAAAAAGTACACAGGGGAGATGATACATAAGCTGGGGACATTTTAAATATAATAAAATTAATATATAGAATATTTCTCAAAATTCATTTTACAATGAAACGCACATGACTTAGATTCTATTGTAACCTTGTACGAAAGTGCATACAATTTTTTCCAGTCTAAAGTTATAGTAGGAAACAAATTTTGGTAGTATATTTCGCTTTTCGGGGGGGGGGGGATTTCCTTTTAACTAGTATTTGGGTAAATATTCTCGTAGACATTTTGCTAATAACTATAATTTTACCATCACTAGGAACAAGAACATAAGAACATTTAATATGCCAAGTTTTCGGAATTGCATCCACAAGACCAAACCATTTTAAAAAAATTGCTGTGCCTTCCAAACGATTAACCAATAGATCCCAAGACAGAATTTTACCATTCTTATTATATAAATCTGTAATATAAACTATACCTATTTATACAATTCTCTATAAAAGATAGATATTTTGATTGTTCCAAATAATCTCACTTGCGATTCCTTGAAGATTTCCAGCGGGGTTTACTGATGACCATGCATGAAGAACAGACTCTTAAAAGGGTGGCAAGTTTATCGGTAACATTTCCCTATTAAAATTACACTGGAACAACAAATTTGCTTCACCTACCGAATTAAGATACCAATCAAAAACTTGTTTCCATGGATGGTAATTTTTATCAAAGTACTTTTTAACCCAATTTGCTTTTGCTCAATCACACATGCTCAATAAGTTCGGCATAGCCAAACCCCCCCTTTAACATATTACCAATCACAGTGTTTCTGGCGGTCTTATCAGTAGCGTTCCAGAGGAAATTATAAAACATCGAGTTGAGTTTAACTAATACCGATTTAGAAATGGAAATAAGGTTAAAAGTATAGAGTAGTTTGGAAATAGCTAAAGATCTAATAACATGTAATATACCGAGTAAAGATAAATTACGACAAACCCAAAAATTTAAAAGCTTTTCAACTGACACAAGATATTTTTCACAATTCATTGAAGTCGAAAGATCATCGTTATATGAAAAATATATACCGACAATTTTAACACAATCTGAAGACCATTTTAATTTTAAAGGTTTGTCTTTTCGGTGTCTCCAGCTACCTATCCACATTGCACTAAAACAGTCCAATTTGCTAAATAGTTCCGTGAAGCCAAGTCTCGAACAAAAGTGGTGAGATCATCTGCATAAGCAGTGTATTTCACTTGATTTGGACCAATCTGAATACCACTTATTTTATTATTTTCAGATATAGCATTTAGTAAAGGTTCCAAACTTAAAATAAACAAAGCAGGAGATAAAGGGTCACCTTGTCTTACACCTCGATTTATGTTAAAATACCCAGTTGAAAAGCCTTTGTTTATTACACAACTTGAAATATCAGAGTAGAAACAATGAATCCAATTAATAAATGACTCCCCAAAATTATATTTAGAACAGCAAAAATATATTGCCATTCCAAAGAGTCAAATGCCTTTTCAAAATCAATGCAAAATTAAATTCCAGGTATATTCCTGTCTTTTGTGTAGTTCATAAAGTCATCTATCAGACGTGCACAGTCACCTATATATCTACCTTTAACAAAAGCAGACTGGAGGTTCAGAAATAGGGGAGGGTAATACTTTCTCCACTCTCAAGGCAACACATTTAGCCGCAATCTTATAATCCAAATTTAACAGCGATATGGGGTGCCAATTTTTAATGTATCTGAGGTCCTTTCCTTCTTTAGGGAGTAATGATATCACTGCCTGTCTTTGTGTAATTGATCATTTTTTTTTATATAAAGGGTTATCTGCAGACCTATTTCAGCAAGAAACAGTTTTAAAGGATTTAAAGGCCAATAAGATCAAACAAGCAGCCTCTCAGCTGAGATAGCTCCGCTGTTAGCAATGCACATTTCAATTAAAGAACAGAAGATATCATTAGAAAATGAACAATATGTATAGTATAGCAATGGGACTTGCTGTTTTCAACAAGAATTCAAAAATATCATTTTTCACCATAAATGATTGTGGTTTTTAACAAGAAGAAAATATCACTTTTTACCAAAAATGACAAAAATATTCACCAAAATTAGAGAACTAAAGATATCATTACAAATGAACAAATCTGAGAGAGTTCCACATGTAGTACCTATATGGTAATATCAAAGCAATTGGACTTGCGGTTTTTAACAAGAAGTCGAAAAATATCACTTTTTACCAAAAAAGATAAAAACATTCACCAAAATTAGAGAACTAAAGATATCATTACAAAATGAACAAATCTAAGAGAGATCCACATGTAGTACCTATATATGTAATATCAAAGCAATTGGACTTGCGGTTTTTAACAAGAAGTCGAAAATATCACTTTTTACCAAAAATAACAAAAATATTCACCAAAATTAGAGAATTGAAAATATGCTCATGAAATGAACAAATCTGAGAGAGGTCTCCCCAAGGTACATATATACCAAGTATCAAAGCATTCAGGCTTGTAGTGTCAAGAAGAAGTCGAAAAAGTAAAACATTGACACGGACGACGACGCCGCCGCAGGACAATCACTCATATGATAAGCTCCGCTTGACAAAGTCGACAGCGGAGCTAAAAAGTTGCATCATTCGACGGACATTCATTATCCATTTTTGGCACTGAAATGCCATGAGCCACCTGGTGAAACAAATACATGTGCAAATATGTGACGTTTGCACATGTTCACACCACCCATTTCAGAGATGTGGCTGTAAAATGGTTAATCACTTTAATTTGATCTGAGAAGCAAAATAACATGCATCAATCCATGATTTCCATTATACATACAAAGTTTGAATGAAATTCATCCATGCATGGCAAAGATATGCATCAGAACTTGGTAAAATATGCAACAAATGCACATTGCATAGCATCTACATGTAGTTAAACATTCAATATATTTGCATTACACTCACTACCACATAATAGGCATTGTGCGTTATACTAAGGTAGTGTACACTATATAGACAGTCTTCATCATACTAGAGCAGTGTGCATACTAGGACAGATTATCATATTAGGGCAGTGTGCATCATACAGGAAGTGTGCATACTAGGACAGATTATCATATTAGGGCAGTGTGCATCATACTAGAGCAGTGTGCATACTAGGACAGATTATCATATTAGGGCAGTGTGCATCATACAGGAAGTGTGCATACTAGGACAGATTATCATATTAGGGCAGTGTGCATCATACTAGAGCAGTGTCCATACTAGGACAGATTATCATATTAGGGCAGTGTGCATCATACAGGAAGTGTGCATACTAGAACAGATTATCATATTAGGGCAGTGTGCATCATACAGGAAGTGTGCATACTAGAACAGATTATCATATTAGGGCAGTGTGCATCATACAGGAAGTGTGCATACTAGAACAGATTATCATATTAGGGCAGTGTGCATCATACAGGAAGTGTGCATACTAGAACAGATTATCATATTAGGGCAGTGTGCATACTCGGGACAGTGCATTATACTTGGACATTATACTTGGGCAGTATGTACAATACAGGAAAAGTGTGCATACTAGGACTGTCATAGTATGTATCAGTGAGTCATCAGTTCAGCAACCATGTTTTATTTAGTTAAATCCTGTGATCTGACATTTACTTTACTGCATATTGTAACTAAAAGCTGAAAGTCATCATTACAATGATAAATGTCAAAACAAAATTCTCAACATTAATAAATTGAGTTGATAGTTACAATCAAGTAATGCTTCCAAATTGTAGTATGTTTGCATGTGTCAAAATAGTATGAAGTACAAACTGTATTTTCTCTATTAGAACTGCATACATTTATGAAATTAGCTAACATATGGCGATGTATTAGTATCACTATATCAATAATACTAATAATACAGTGAATTTCATGAAGGCATGAATGTTTTTTGTGTGGAAATTTATGAAATATTTACAAAACATTTAATACACTGGAAGACCTTGATTCAAATCGAAAGAATATGCTTTCATTGGTGGTAAAAGCAATTTTGTAACACTTGTTACCCATGAATCTTTGAGGGTTTCCTTCAGTCATTGGTCAATTTACTGCACCTGTCAACTCAAAGTGCTTCCAACTGTCGCTCAAAATTCATAAAACATTTATAAATATTATACCTTCCTGAATTTCACTATAACAGAAAATATGAGATATATTACTACATGCATTTTCAAGTTCAATGCAAATTATTGCAATAGGAATATTAAGGCAAATGTAATAAATTTTTGGATAGTAGACATTAATGAAGATCATATCCTGAAAACAAAAACTATATGAACAACCATAACGCTAGACAACTCGTGTAAATGATTTCCAAAAAACTACTATACCGAATACACAAATTAATTGACATGGCATGTTAAAATTAAGTATTGTGAGTCATAAAAGTTTAACATAGTAACCAATATTGTTTTAGCTTGTGAGCATTGCTAAGTAGTTTTCACAATTCCCTTTAATTTATAAAATTGTTAACATGGAATAGGCATAAAGTTAGAGGAAAGAAGAATGTAATCTACAGAGTGTAGACAATATTGCTTAGAACATAGTTGCATTCTCAATGCATTATTTCATGAAATAACAAAAATAGTAATGTTTTATACTAATGTAAATTTAATCAGCTTTGCTATGAATAAGCATAACATATATCAACTAATCACAGATATTTAACCTTGTCATAAAGTAACAATATTTACATACACAAATTATATTCTCAATTGCTAAATATGTAAATGATATCATTATGTATTCAAATAACAAACTGAATGCTTACTGAGATGCAAATATTGATTGCTATATCTAAGCACCATTGGTTGACACAATAATTTGTAAATGCATAGATTATGCTTTCATTTACATATTGCCATTGTTTTGAGAGATCTAATACAGGTAACAATGGATGATACTACACATACACTTTAAACTTTTCACTACCAGTTCTTGATTTTCATCACAAATTTACAAAACAGTCCAGTTTATAGTCTGCAATTTACAGAAATTTTGTCTGATGGATTCAAAATTAGGGTTCATTTCAAGAAATATTGAAAAATATAAGAAGAAAGTGCAGAAAAATTTGAGCGAAAAGTCTGCTGGTGAAAAGGTTATAATAAAACGACAGTCAGTCAGTCACACTCATTATTACATGCCTTTGACATTGATTGTGATCTTGTATAGTTTGTACCGACTGCTGCTCTTAAATGAACAATTGTTTACTAATTGTTGTTTGTTATCAACGTTCAATTTTATTATTGATGTCTTGATTCTGTTCAGACAATTTTTTTTTTATAAGAGGCATGTAACAGGAACACAAAATTAAGGCAGTAAAATATACATTTCAGACATGTACCCATAAAAACAAATAAACTCAACACTTTTGACTATGACCCAATATTTAAAAATACAAATCAACTAATTAAAAATATTCAAATTTCAGAATATTTGGCAGTGGAAGCGAAATTAATAACTTTAAATTCAATAATCCTTTTTTTATTTATTTGAAGTAGTTATAATAAATTATTTAAATATTAAATTTGAACCCAAAATAAGCCTATTCTAATTCAAGCCAAACTTGTATGTGATTTGAAAATGTCCACTGGCTTAAAAACTAGCTAGAACTGATAATAAAGTAAAACCAAGTCAACACTCAAATCAAATCTTATGTCTATAGTGATATGAAAAACTTTATGGGCATAGGGTATACAAGGCATATGTATGAGTTATCATACTTTTGTACACATACTTATCACAGTAGTTTTTGAGCAAACTTTTATATATACATGTTAGATAAAAGAAGTAGGCAGAATTTACCTGATTATTTATTAATTAACATAAACAATAATTTGGAACTATTTCCTCCAATAATGAAATTAAGACCAACAACAAATTTGATACAGTTTAACATTTGTGAATTTAACAAATCGTGTTGTAACCTAAATATAATATAATTGAAATTTGTGTTGTGCGCGATATCATAGTTATACCTTTATTGAAATATTTGACATATTTTTTTTTATTAATTACTAAAACTGTTGTCCCTGTATTGATTATTCCTGAATAGTATTTATAGGTTTATATTATAATTATTTCATATAACTTGATGACTACGACATTGTATTCTAAAAACCAACCGATTCAAAGAGAAAATGACAGAAATGACATTTTTACAAACTTCAAAATGCTGATAGAAATAGCTTATAAAGTACCTGTCACCATCTTGCATTATCATAGCTCCAATGAATATATACACTTAGTCTGAACCAGGCAGGCTATATAGACACCCAGTTAGGATCCAGCCAGGATATAGACACCCAGTTAAAAACCAGCCAGGATATAGACACCCAGTTAGGAACCAGCCAGGATATAGACACCCAGTCAGGAACCAGCCAGGATACAGACATCCAGTCAGGAAGCAGCCAGGATACAGACACCCAGTTAGGTACCAGCCAGGAAAATATAGACACCCAGTTAGGAACCAGCCAGGATATAGACACCCAGTTAGGAACCAGCCAGGATATACACACCCAGTTAGGAACCAGCCAGGATATACACACCCAGTTAGGAACCAACCAGGATATAGACACCCAGTCAGTAACCAGCCAGGATATAGACACCCAGTAAGGAACCAGCCAGGATATAGACACCCAGTCAGGAACCAGCCAGGATATAGACACCCAGTTAGGAACCAGCCAGGATATAGACACCCAGTCAGGAACCAGCCAGGATACAGACACCCAGTCAGGAACCAGCCAGGATATTAACACCCAGTCAGGAACCAGCCAGGATATAGACACCCAGTCGGGAACCAGCCAGGATATAGACACCCAGTCGGGAACCAGCCATGCTATATAGACACCCAGTTAGGAACCAGCCAGGATATAGACACCCAGTCAGGAACCAGCCAGGATATAGACACCCAGTTGGGAACCAGCCATGCTATATAGACACCCAGTCAGGAACTATAATGTAGCTATACCTAATCAGACTAAACAGACAACCTGATATAAACTTGCCCATATGGCTACACTAATTTTTCAAACTTGATTTTAGACGGGGCTATTGGCATCTAACATTATGAAGCATGAATTCAAAGATTGCTGCCCATGAGTGGATTGGATTCGTTATCACCAAAGCTTTACAAACTTTTCTTTCATCTTAGCAAACCCAGGATTTTCTCGCAGTTTCCAGTAATGACCATTTGTGACCCAGCATTCTTTGTCACCATCCAGTGATTTCCTGCAGACATAAAACAAATGTTTTAGCAATAGTTTTATCTTGAAGAGTGGGAGAAGGAATTTTCAGTTTTGACACAACTGACATTTGTAAGTTACATATAAGTATGACAATGTGTAGTAGTATACATACAGCATCACAAGATGTCAATTACATTGATGTGTTTGTGTGACAAGGTGTCATTGATGTGTTTGTGTGACAAAATGTCAGTGATGTGTTTGTGTGGCAAGGTGTCATTGATGTGTTTGTGTGACAAGATGTCAGTGATGTGTTTGTGTGACAAGATGTCAGTGATGTGTTTGTGTGACAAGATGTCAGTGATGTGTTTGTGTGACAAGATGTCAGTGACATGTTTGTGTGACAAGATGTCAGTGACGTGTTTGTGTGACAAGATGTCAGTGAGTGTTTGTGTGACAAAGATGTCAGTGACGTGTTTGTGTGACAAGGTGTCAGTGATGTTTGTGTGACAATATGTCAGTTGATGTGTTTGTGTGACAAGGTGTCAGTGATGTGTTTGTGTGACAAGGATGTCAGTGATGTGTTTATGTGACAAGATGTCAGTGTTGTGTTTGTGTGACAAGATGTCAGTGATGTGTTTGTGTGACAATATGTCAATGATGTGTTTGTGTGACGTGATGTGTTTGTGTGACAATGTCAGTGATGTGTTTGTGTGACAAGGTGTCAGTGATGTGTTTGTGTGACAAGATGTCAGTGATGTGTTTGTGTGACAAGATGTCAGTGATGTGTTTGTGTGACAAGATGTCAGTGATGTGTTTGTGTGACAAGATGTCAGTGATGTGTTTGTGTGACAAGATGTCAGTGATGTGTTTGTGTGACAAGATGTCAGTGATGTGTTTGTGTGACAAGATGTCAGTGACAGGATTGTGTGACAATGTCAGTGACAGGATTGTGTCACTAAGATGCTGTAACGCAACTTACAAGAATGACAATAATGTTAATGTCAAACTAGTGTGACAGTTACATGTACATGTTCTGTAATCAATTAATAGAATAGTATCACACTATTAACTGTGCATCTCTGATACAAGTCAACTTTACTCACTTAAAAAAGAGAGGTTCATAAGATAGCTTCTTCTCATCTCTCTGCTTCTTTCTCTCGCGCTGTGAATTTTCAATTCTTAATTTCTCTTTTTCAGCATCATCAATGTTTCCTTCTTCTAGCATTCTATGTAAAATAGATTATTGATTACAATATATTATTCATATGTATCTTTCATGTGATTTGAAATATATTACAAATGTGTTAAAACAGGAGATGAGTCAATATCATTGTATCACAAGATGTGCAAGCAGTGTCTGAGGTCAATGCACTCAATTAGAATACTGGTAACAACAAAATACTCTCCTTAATTAACAATATCCATATTTTCCCATTTTTAAACGAAAAACAACAAATTCTAATCATTATAATTCATACCTTTGATCTGGTCTGAACCTAGAATCTGTTGGCGGCAGTACAAGTTTCTGATTTGGATCTAAATCATTGAGTTCTACAGCAAATTTGGAAAACCCATAATATAGATCATAATCTTCTGGCATTGCTCCTAGGTTATGAAAAAACAAGTCATTGTCAATGACACGTCCCCGTTCCGTTCATATTTGAGTGACATATACATTCAAAGCAGATCATGACTGAAATGCACCTGCATATGTACAACACATTGTGCTAAATCTGAACAAAATCCATCCATGCATGACTGAGATC